TAAGGTTTAATTTTAGAGGAATTTACAAATAATGGCAGAAAAATGAAAATAATTACACAAATTAAAAATAACTACATATAAGAGCTTAATCTTTAAATATTATATAAGGGCCAAAATCTATTGATGGCCGAAAAAAGTGATCACGGAATTACTGCGCCACAAAGTAATATCACGATTGCAAAATCGCAAATATAGGATCATCATTGTTTTATTGTACATTTGTAGGCAATTGGAGTTATCTATATACCGATAATTAGATAAAAGAATAAGTGAAGCGCTGGTCATAATCATTTTCGTTTAAACCTTGTCACAATTATTTATAAGGCAAAGAAGTTTCAACAGAATAGCTCTCTAGAGCTGAATGAATATCTTCCATATAAATGTCATGCCAATTCGCAGTGCCTAAAGCAATTTTATGCAAAGAAAATGAAATTTATTAATTTTAAAAAATTTCTTTTCTCATTTATAATTACTAATTTACAATCATTACATTTTTTATGCGCTTAATAACTACATTTAGCATTTGTAGTCGGTCCTTAAATATCGACCAAGTCGATCGAATAAAAAACGGTTAGTCGACTAAGTAATAATCATGCAAAAATTAGAAACAGGAATGCTTGCAAAGTGGACAACGTAATTATAGTGATCATATCAGATAACTTTCACTGCATGTACTGCCAAAAGACTGTATCTTAGCGTTAGTGTGTCTTAGCATGACTACGTCACGCAGTAACCTAATTTTATAAGGTTTTTTATTAATAATACCTCGATATTCTTTAAATCAAATTCGTTCTACGTATTTATGCTTTGTTCTTTAAATGTTAAACACGTAAATTTTACTATCTAAGGCTCTTTTTTTTATATATATTGTTGAGACATCTTATGTATATAAATCGGATAAAAATTTTATCTAATTATTTTAAATTTATTAACTAATGCAGCAATATTATGAATACTGTACTACGTATAAATTAATCTTTTTTAGTTTACTTATGTATATTATACGTAGTTGTAATAAATAAAATATTCAAAAATTAGCTATTTGGTTTACAAATACATTTTAGATTATTAGGAGTCGACTAAGCTAGTCTTTGAAAAAATCTACTGACTTAGCCGGCTAAGTCGACTAAGTCGACTAATGTGCTATTGACTTAGATCACTAACTACATTTATCGATGCTCACATTTCTTATGCTAATAACGATCAAGCCACAGGCTTGAATAACGTCGCAGTTATTATGGGGTCCTTATATGTAATTTTTTTTAAAAAATTAGGCCCATATATGTAATTATTTTTAATTTGGGCCCGTATTTATAATTATTTTCATTTTTCAGAGCCCATATTTTTGTAAATTCCTCTTAATTTTAAGTTAGGATAGGGTGCTTAGTTATTTGTAAAATTAATGTTGAAACATAGTTTCCATTATAAATATTTGAATTTCTTAATATATATTTATCTATCGGTTTTTCACGTGGCCGGGTGACATAGCAGGAGAAAATTCAGCTGTAGGGGTTATTGGTGTGGTATTTGATTATTTTGTGAGTTGAATTGACGTGGTATTTTGATTGTATAACGTTTGTTCTTGGTCAATAAATGCTTCGTCAACCTCCGAAAGAAGGATATGATTATAAAATATATTTGGTTTCGTTGAGTAGAAGGAATGAAATTCTTCAATAGCCATTGCATAAGTTGATTGGATTGGCCAATAAATATTCCGTTAGTTTCCGAAAGAAGAATATGATTATAAATATGTGAGATTTCAGAAGTTTTGTAAATGTTATTTTGGCGAATATGTGTTGACTCTTGACCAATAAATGCACCGGAAGTTCCAACAAAAAGGATTCATAAGAGTTAATTAACGCGGTATTTTGGTCATATAACGTTTGCCCTTGGCCAACGAATGCATCAGTAGTTCCGAAAGAAGGAATAGTAGCGATATGATTATAAGTATGTGAGGTTACGAAGTCCGAAGTAATAGTTTCGTAAAGGTTAATTGATGTGGTAATTGGTGTGGTTCTTGTTAATAAGTACTTTAGTGGTTCCAAGAGAAGGTTCATAAGAATTAATTGACGCAGTATATTGATCATCTGGCATTTGCCCTTGGCCAATGAATGGCACAACAGTTTTGAAAGAATAAGGAGCTTCGGTAGTTCCGGGCGATCTAGGCTTTCTCCCACGTTTTTAGGCAGGGCGTTTTACAGTAGGGGTTGTTGTTCTCAGGTGTTATTGATATCCCCTTCAGAAGGTTTTTCGCATCTTTGGTGTCTCATTAACAATTTGTACATGCTTGAGTCGCATTAGTACGTGATCTTTTGTGATCTATTTGATTGAGACATATCTAATATGTGCGTTAAAAGTTTAACGCACTCTTAATATTACAATGCTTGTAAATGATATGATCTTGACCGTAACTGAAAAGTGTCTTCCAAAGAACGTTTTTTGCTTTTTTATATTTAAAAAAAAATCTCATGCTTTGAAAGATTGAAGATTATATTGGGAATCGTTTGTACATTTCATTTTTTTATCCTTGATCAGAATTTTATATCTTTTAAAATAATCGACAAAAAAGGCAATCAACAACTAATAGGAACTACAACAACAACGACGTTAAATGACAATATTCCTTATCCATATATGATCTAACCATAAACGGAATTTGACATATTATCTAAAATTTTTGAAAAAATGAAACTACAAACGATTCTCAATATAAATCTTATTATTCTCAAAATA